CACATGTTGTCAACTCAGATTTATAAGATTTGTTTATGATTGAACGAATAACGTTGAATATACATTTTAATTTTTTCTTATTTGTTTTGTAGCTTTGACTTAATTTCTTTAAAATACTTTTTACAGGTTGAGGGCAGATTATGTTGAAGCTTTGGCCAGACCCAGTCACAGCTGAAGAAAACAGGAAGCATCTTTACACACAATATTCAACGTTATTTGTTCAATCATAAACAAATCTTATAAATCTGAGTTGACAACATGTGGCTCAAATAGATAAAATACCTTTACTTGGGGTATTTAATTTATTCTATATTAATTACACATAAATTAATTGGTAATTTGTCTATATTTTGTCAGAATTAATAAATGTGTTATTTACTGTTAGCAGTGTACAACACAGTGCTCTAAACAGTCATAGAGGTTGGAGTATAAACTATTATCATTAAGATCCTTCTCACCTTCTTATTGTTGAGTTTGATTTCATGAGGATCCAACTGGTCAAAAGTTCTATTGGAGCAAAAGCAACAACATACAAGAACAAGTTTTTGATAGATGAAAGTTGAATAAACACAGAGTTAACACATTTCCCTGTAAGGATAAGATAAATAGTAAAAAATGTAAAGCATACACAATACTTGGGAGCCAAACATGGCGTACATTTTGTCTGGATGAAAGTGGTGTAGAATGGCACAGAAGGCCAGGCCGTTTCTCCAGGAAGTGCTGAAGTTTGTGACTTTTACACCGTTATATTTGTTGGTGATGCTCTGACACCACTGGAGCAGCGACTGGCTGGAGTTCACAAGATCCTGAAGGAAAGAAACTTAGCTTTGGTTAGGATGAATATATCTGGGTTCATATGTCAGTCATAGTTAAATTAGACCACTAGAGGTCACTAGAGGGCACATCAGTCACATGACGTGACTCACTGGAGGGACGGAAGCCATAACCAAAGAGGGCAAGTGTCTGGACTTATCATTGTTGTAGATAATGGCAAAACAGCCAACAGTAGCAGCTGATTATGTAACAGTTATTAATGATAATATTAATATAATAGAATGTATATAATCTTTATAATGTATGTAAAAATGCCACAAAGCGCCGTGTGCTAGGGTTGGACCAACCGAAGAGGAAAATGAAAATGTGTCTCATTTCACAAGTCAGCAGATTTGATCTTATTTACGTCAATGTGAATGTGATCAACCATAACTGAAGATAAAAATGTAGCTGTTTAAAGTTAAAATGAGCCCATAAAGTTGATGTAATCACTGTTAATTATTGAATTGGCTAGTAGATATTAGCTTCTGTGTCATACACATGTAGCACTGTGCTGAATCATGCTACAATTTAGCACAAATTATTAACTATTAGCCTTGTATTAACCTCTGATTTATGTAATATTTACACATTGGAAAATAATATTGTATATTTGACTATTGTTATGTTTCCTTTACACAAAACTGACCTATAGAGAAGATATCAGTCTATATCAGCAGACACAAGTTTCATCCTTCAAAGTATCTACGGGCATGTGGTGAGCATTTTCTAAGTATCAACTACATAACAGTTAAATAATAATAAATATAAGTTTTTCCAGTACTGTTATGCAACCCTATGTAGTTTCTGATAGGGGTGTAACAATACATCGATTTAAATCAATATATCGATTAAATGATTAATGATTCAATTATATTGTGGCAAAACTAAAACATTGATTCATATTGTCATCTTTAAAATACGCTTTTATTTTGAAATTCCCTAGGCACGTCTGTGTCACCATTTCCGTGCACGGCTGCGCTCCGCGGCCGCCTCAGCAACATGGCAGACAAAGCAGAAAACACAGATAATGAAATTCAGTCTCCTGCTGGATTTAAATCAACACAGTGGAAATATTTTGGATTCTGACAGAAAGTCGACTCAACAGACAAACCTCATGTCGTATGCAACAAGTGCCAGTGTGAGTTAAAATACTCGGGAAATACAACAAATTTGGCCGTTCACCCGAAGATGAAACATGGCATTGATAGCCATATTATGTATAAGCTCAATATCTATTTTTGTTTATTTTTAACTGAAAAGTAATCAGGGCCCTTTTAAGTTAACTGGTTTAAAAAAATGCACTTAAACATGAGAAACGTGAGACCATACTGAACAGGTCTTTTTTTTTTTCATTAATTAATAAAAAAAAAAGCTTTTTTATTTAAATGCCTGGTGCCTGTAATAACAGAAATAACATGGTTAAATCATATTTGAATTGTTTTTGTAAATTTATTTATATGTAAATGAGATGGGCTTTTGATATCGCAATATATCGATCACTGCCTTGTGAATCGAATAGAATTGAAATCGTATCGTGGCAGACTTGGTGATAACGAGAAAAATCGTATTATCATACAAACACATCAATATAATATCGAATCGTGGTAAAGCTGGCGATTTACACCCCCTAGTTTCTGAATTGTGTGTGTTATTGACTGACTTCAGATCTAGTTTAGATCATTACTGATAAACTATATATTTTCATTATATAGCATCCAGCTGTTTTACATGATTGTTGAATGAAATTAACATGAATTATCTATTCTATTAGTTTATTGTAAAAAGATTACAAATAATTTGTGACACAGATCCAGTTGAGCTAGCTGTTAATCAAATAGTTGCTTTGTCGGCTGTGAACTGTTGCCCTCTTTGGACGCCATCTTTGATGTCACAGATGCGAGCAGTGGGCGGGATAAGGGGCGTGCTCTCTAGTTGTCTTATTTAACTCTATGGTGTCAGTCTTCTATTTGTTTACCTCAGTTGTATCGTCCTTCCCATCAGCCTCCTCTCTCATCACCAGCACAGGATTATCGGCCTTAACTTGGGGGGATTCCTCCTCCACCAACGTAGGAAGCCAAGCAGTCTTGGCTTCACAGTGCTGGGGACGAACCGTGCTGTGTCGACTCAAAGACTCCTTTGGATGGGAGGGTTGGTTCTTCTCTCTACCATCTGGGAGGTCTGAGACTTGGCGTTTTACTCTGAGGAGATAAAACAAAATATTTTAAGAAGGAACAGATGTTTCTAAAAAGGCAATGAGAGCATCCCTTTGCTAGTCGCAGAAATGAGACAGAAACATGCAAACGTAGACTGATTAGCAAGCTGATGTCTCCTGGGGTTAGTTAGAAGACAAATCTTGAAGAATTTAAGCGTGTTGCATCAAACCAGATCTAAGATATTTAGATCTTATTTTCCTCAAAACTTTACACAAGAACACTCAACGAATACAACCTAGATGGTGGTACACCTACACATCTATTATAAGCTGAACATGTTCACATAGACAAGAAACACTCGAGAGCAAGTTCAAATCAAGCCTCAGCTCATTCACATAAAGACAAAATATATCAAAACAAGATCAGACATTTGACTTTTCAAGCCAAATTGAAAGCATATATTGAAACACTCAAATTACAGGTTTATGCACAGTTTTCCAAAGAATTTGCGTAGTTTGGTTGGGATCTCGGAAATTTACCTAGATTCTGTTTAAAATTTTTAAACATGACAATCATCACTTGTAATTTTATGACAAAAATGCATAAAAACAAAACTGCTGAGTGAAATTCAAAGCTATGGAGATGGTTATCGCAGATTAAAAATTTTAAATGCCTTACAACGTCTTAATTTTACGCATTCTATCATTTAGTTCTGTAGCGTCACCTCAATAAAAACTACCTGTACTGTAGGCAGTGCTTAATATGAGCTGGATCCTGCCGGAACAGGATCCAGGAACTCTCTTCTTTTGACAGGGTGTGTTCCAGTAACTGTTTGTTTGGAGCCGGTAACTCTCAGGCTTACTAATAATAAAGTTATGAACAAATATGACTGCCTTTAACAAATAAAACTTATATTGGATATGTAAACTGAAAATAATTACATAAACACTAATTTTAAACACAATAGCCACTTACGAGCATACGAGCTGCCCTTTCAAGTAATATTTCCACATCTACATAAAAAAAAAATTCTTCCCCTAAAAGAGTGGTGGGGATGCGTGCCGAGCTAACCAGGCAGTCATATGCAGACAGGAGCCCAGATGGAGGTGACGCCTGGAGGGTTCACATGTGGAGTTGGACAAGAAGAAGCAGGGACAGTGTCGGTCTCGGAAATGTTTAACAACCCGTTAAAATACACCAAAATGCAGGAAATCCCATCTACTTTATTCAAATTTTTCTGGGGGAGGACCCCCAGACCCCACCCCCTACTGTTTGTGTTCTGGTATTGATTGGTTTACAAATTAAGCCCTGACTGTAGGTATGTCTACAGCAAAACCCTCTAACCTCAAATATTAAAAAACAAATTAAAGCTGCTGTACTATGCCCACGTTTAACAGTAAAAGTCTCACTCTACATTCCTTCAGCTAAATATCTTTAAGAGCGGAACGGGTTTGCAGGTTCTGCTGACTTACACTTTGTCCTGTTCAAGCGGCTCCTCAGTGTCATTTAGCTTTATTCCCTGCAGGGAGTCAGGACGGAGTCGACTCTGATCGGTAACATCAGCAGGAGCATCTGCACAGCTTTTAGTCTCCGTGACATCACGATCAATATCACCAGGTGCAGGAACGAGCCGTTTCATACTGCGAGAACTGGAGGCGGGGGATGTGTCGCCTGACATTTGGTGAATTTTGGCCAACAAAATTCTTTCTTCTTCTTGAAGCTGCTGGTCTTTGGAGGGCCCGCTGGGGACATCGTTTGCTGGCGAACTGACGACTTCAGAGTCCTTCTTAAAACTGGAGATCTTCTTGTCCATGTCAGAAACAACTTTGGGAACGTGTAAGCATGTATCGATTTTCATGTCAACCTGTATCTTACTGGTGTTTGTGCTAGTGCGTGTTTTACTGGGTTTAGAGTCGCTGTTTGAGCTTTGAGACAGAGAAGAAGGAACCGATGGCTGAACACATACAGCCTCTTTATGAAATGTTTTACTAAAATCACGCAGTTCTTTCATTGGATGCTTTTGTGGATCTCTGAGCTTTGATTTGATTGCGTTGTCCGTCTCTGACACCAAAGGCGTTCTACTGTCGGTCTGTTCAGGTGGTTCCAGTTGATTTAGCCGTCTAACATCAGAACCCTGATAATGAGCTGGTTCGATGCAGTGGGTTGAAGAGGGCTTCTGGGCTACAGCAGGGAGTGAACATCCTGGGCTGAAGACAGAATAGAAGAATTCAAAACTAAAAAGGCTGACTGAAGTAAAAGTTGCATTCATCCTTTTCATGCAACATTCTGCTTTGGCAACGAACAAGCAACAAGAATCATCCTGTTAATGTTGCAAAGCCTGAAAAGTGTGTTGAACTGAGTCAAGAAGATTTTTTCCACACTTATTTTTCCAGTTGTTTGGACAAGACTTTCCCCCTAAGCACTGCCAGAATGTTAGCAGACCAAAAGTATTGTGAGGATTTTACATCATTTTTTTTCCTTTTAACTTGGGCCAAGTTTGACCAAACTGAAAATATATTTTCAGGAGGTGTTCTGGTTATATTCTCAACTTGGAAATTTTGACTTCTGCATACAAAGGGAACGCGCCACAAGCCAACCCATTCAGCCATGCTAACAGGCATGCTGCATTTCCACAATGCTCTTTTACCATATTTCTATAGATCATAAGCATCATAATAAAAACACATGCAGATACTGCTTTGTATTTTGCCATGTTAGCAGCAGCACATCATACTTGTCCTGCTTCACTAACCTGATGTTAGTTATAAGCAGATTCCTGTTACCAAGCTTTCAGTCCGTATGCAACTAAATTCCACTCACTTACTCTCATATAGACTGACTTCATGACTTCTGACTTTTACATTTTATAACAATTAATAAAACATAAACTCTAAATTTACCTGTATTAATGGAAATAATTTCCATGATTTATGATTTATGGAAATCGTTTCACGACCCACTGCGGGATCCCAACCCCAACTTTTGGAACTACTGATTAAGAAACTAAAGACTGAATGTGAAGCTACTGATCTTATTTAGCCGAACTGGGGGTCACAGCAAGTGTAACTTTTACAGCTGAGCATAATCAAAAGCAACTCACTGGACAACTAAAACAATGGACAGTAGTCCTTCGCTACTTCGCTGTTCGACTTTGGTGGACTCGCTCTTTCGCAGTTTTTCCACAATTGACACCGTTAATATTACGTGATTGGGACATTATAGGATAAAATGTTAACAAAAATATTTCAGACAGGTGCTGTCATTTTGTAGTTTTCTTTCAATAAGCTGTAAGGCCAGTCAAAAGAACTACATTACCCAGAAGCCAACAGTGCTTCCGGCTGCTGATTTCTGAAGAAATGGAGGGAAAGTTCTTCAACGCAAATCTATGCTATCTATTAAGTTCACAGAACTGGCAGGAAAGTCGCAAATAATCCTGAAGCTCCCTGAAGCTCAATTATCCACGCGCACATCAACCTGGACGGGGCGGTGGGCTTCATCGCTGCAGGGTGGGTCTGCAGAACCAGAACCAAACCCGACTGGAACCGAGCTGCTGGTCTGCAGAGCTGGTGAGTAAAATTTTGCAGTACGGTACAGTACATATACGTATATTGTTAAAATTATATAGGTTGTTCTAAAAATTTAGAACATTGCAAGAGTGTAGGAAGGGTTTATAAAGCCTTAAAATAAAATAGCGTTTCTACTTCGTGGTTTTTCACCTGTCGTGGAGTGTGTGGAATGTAACCCCCCGCAATAACTGAGGGACTACTGAACCATACTTGATTGTCTTGCTAAACAATGTCTTACACTCATTTCTCTCTTTTCCAGGGTGAAAACCTCTGGCACGAGTCGTTATCAAGATAAAAATGTTAACACATAATTCTATTGCAACACTTGAAGAAAAGGCCAAACCCTCAGAGAAAGATGCAAGTTTAGTAACTATTATGTTCTGGTGGATGTAGTGAGTAAAGGAGAAACACAAAAACACTCCAAACATAGCTTCTTAATCCACAAGAAGCAACAAACCGATCTCTCGTGAGCTGTACTCACCTCTCCCTGTTACTAATGATCCTCCCTTCAGCCCTTACTCCCCCTGCTTCCCCCTCCATGTACAGCTCGGCCAGCCAGATGGAGCCAAGATCTTCCTGTCCTTTTTCATACTCTACTTCCTCCTCCTCCTGCTCTTCCTCTTCTCTCAGCCATACTGGGATGGCATCGTGTTCAAGCCTCGATCCACTCTTTCTAACTGATCTCAGGCCAGTGCTGTCCGGTGCTTTTTTAACAGCACTTGCAGAGTTTGGGGGTTTATAGTTGAGTGTTACAGAATCCGTGGGTCGGGTTGAAACTAAACGGGCCTCAGTGTTGGGTGTGCTTTGATCAACGGGATCAGATTTGCGTTCTTCGTCCTGCTGCCTCTCATCATCAGCGATATCATCCAACTCTGCCTCCCTGAGCGAAGGCCAGTTGTTTGATTGGCTGCTTGTCTCTCTTTGGTTGATTTGAGGAAATGAACAAAAAGGAGGAGTCTCCATTTTCCATAAAGGCTCTTCATTCCTATCCTCTCCCTTTCTTTTTATTGTGTTCTGTTTCGTTTCATTACTTTTATCCGTCTCATAGATTTTATCCGTTTGTTGCTTTACTTCTATCATTTCCCTCATCTCCAGCTCTTCTTGGGCTTTTTCCATCCTCTTACTTCCCTCTTTCCTCTCCAGCTGCTCTCTCTGTTTATTCTCCGCCACTTTTCTTCCAAGCTTTTCTTTCATATTTTTGTTTTCCTTTTCTCTTTCTAATCTTTCTTTGGCTTTTGTCTCGACTTCTTTTTCCAGCCTTTCTTTCTCGTTCTTCTCTGCTTCTTCCCTTTCCAACTTATCTTTCTCCCTTTTTTCTGTCTCTTCCAGATCAAGCATTTCTTTCTCTTTCTTCGCCATCTCTTCCCTTTCTATCCTTTCTTTCTCTTTCTTCTCCGCCTCCTCTCTCTCCTTGCGCTCCATTTCCCGTTCTCTTTCTTTCTCTTGTTCTACAGCTGCTAGTCTTAGACTCGCCACCAAACATAGTCCTTGTGCCGTGTCTGTTTTTGCGGATAACTCAGTGTCGGAAACCTCATCTTCAAAACCTGTCTGACTTTCTGTTGTGTCAGAGAAAACTTCAGGAGGTGAAATCATGTCTTCATCAATGGTGCTCAGAGGCTCATCAACAGTTTCAGAGGAGCACAGGGTCTCTGTATCTACTGGATGAGCTTCATTATCTGGAAAGTGGTCTGCAGAAGGATGACCTGCTTCACTTGATCCACTTGTGTGCAGTATAGAGACAACTGTCTCATAGCTAAAGAGCAAACATGACGGACAAAAACAAAACAAAAGACAAAAAAAAAAAGCTGTGAGACAGAGCTCTGCCGAAAATAATTCTGCAAAACGATCACAACCAAACCCTCCAACAGAGAGCCAAACATCATGCTGGATTAGTTTCCTTCACAGACTTCGCTTTGGTGTAAATCCATTAAGGTTTGCAAAAATTCCCAAAAGGGAAAAACATTTTTATGTATGCAAAGAACCATACTGTGCTCTCTGCTAACTGGTGCAAAGCATACTGGCAAAGTTAAAAGCAAGAAAAGTACTTTATGAACCATGCAGCCAAGAGTTTGACTCAGGTCAGAGGAAGATTCGTAAGATATATATATGCAAGACATCTGCAACCAGCTCACATAAACACCACATGGTCTGCTTTATAATAAAAAACAATGATGCAGTCTGTATCTGGGTTAGAGACATGTACAACTGAAGTCAGAGTTTCAATTGCAGGTTTGTTTCACCTGCAAAGCAGGCAGCTTTTAAAGTCCGATCCTTCTGACGTGTTTTTTGCATGAACAAAAATAAAATTCACGAGCATGTTAGAAAATCAGGCGCTATCATGCTGAGCAAAGTTACAAAACCAATGGTGAAGAGTCTGGATTCAACCAATCCACAGTCAGACAGTGTAGACATGAAGACAACAGAAAGTCAAGTTTTTTTCTGTCAAAATGATCAACTAAGAAAAATCACTCCAAGACACAAAAGATCAAGATGCTGTATACAAACATAAGGTAAGAAAAACGATTTCTGTCAGAAAAACAAATGCTAACGAATGTGGGCCTGTCATCAGAAGAATAAACTGTCCAGTCCAGATTATTGCAAATTTGCAAAGAAAGCATCACAATTCTTCTAAACCAACATTGTTGCCCATCTGTAGTCTGCTGTAGATCGGGTAAGACAAGAGCGAAGGATGCTGGAAATTATTTTTAGGGAAATTTGTCTCACACCAACATTTTAAATCAGAATGACAATCTATGAAGAAAATGCCACATTTAAACAATAAAACCCCACCCTCTCTGTAAAACAAGGTAGAGGTGGCATCATGATTTGGTCATCTGGCTGAGGGCAACCTGCCATCACTGATTCATAAAAGAATTTTCATTTATGCCAGGGGACATAATGACCACGCTGAACTCTTAAATCCAAAATAAATGTGGTAGAAGCAGCATCACATAAATTTAAGATCTACACCAGGGTTATTCGACAAAACTGCTCAGTGGGCCACAGTTTCTGAAAGCCAGTAGCGCAGGGGCTGGACATCCAGCGATTAAAATCATTATGTACTGTATTTTTCGCCCTATAAGTCAAGGCTTTTTGCATAATTTGCATGCCCTGCGACTTATAGGCTGAAGTGAGGTATTTATGGATTTTCCCCATATTTATAAACCAATTTTAGACTGAGTGAGATATGACCGTTTTCATTCATTCTGACTGAAAAAAATTGAACACTACCATTTTCAGCTGCTAGATGGCGCTCGAGCGTTAAGGCATGCCGTTGTATCATGTAATAGATAAAAGTGGCTATAATGACAATTTAAAACAAGTTCAAGACAAAAATAACTGAACTTTATTTATTATACTTTACTTTATACTTTATTGCTTTTGTCTTGAACTTTTTTGAATTTACCATGTCCTGGATGACTGAGAATCTTCACCAGCTATCAATTACACAATTGGCTTGCCATAACCTGCCACCTTTGTTCTGCTCACTGCTTGGAGCATCTGTCAAACCAGCTGCACCATCCCGGTGAAATGAAGCTAATTTGACCATTAAAGTGCATTTATTAAGTAAAAGTTCAATGGAGACACACCTTTACTATACTTTCAAGCAAACAAATAATTGTTTTAGGTGGTTATCTTGTTAAATTTCGAAGAAACATGCAGCGTTCCTCCTTCTTTTTTCCTCCGTTTGCGCACTTCCAGGAGCACCAGGGCAACAAATACTTTTGAAATACAGCTGATTTGATCGTTAAAGTCCTTTTATTAAGCAACCGTTAGATTGAGACACAGATTTACTATAAAGTCGCGCAAACAAATAATTTTTGTTTTTAGGTGTTTATCTTGTTAAATTTAGAAGAAACGCACAGTGACTCGTCCCTCTGTGCGTTCCTACTTCCGTGTATTGGCTTTTGAAATGCAGCTCATTTGACCATCAAAGTGCATTTATTAAGCAAAAGTTAGACTGAGACACACCTTTACTATAATTTTGAGCAAACAAATAATTGTTGTGTTAATCTTGTTAAATTCTTGTTAAAGTCCACAACCACGCGACCGCCATTTGGCAGCCTATCAATTTTTGGCACAACACCGGCCCACATTTCTGGGCTGTCAGCAGCGACGCATAATAGATGTGATGTATACGGCAAAGTGACATATTTATGAATTTTTCCACTTCATTAGACATATTTGGACTGATGCGACTTATAGGGCAGAGCGACGTGTACGGTGGAAAATACGGTAAATAAACCAAAGATTACAATGATCTGTTACCTTTTAAATTTGTTTATTTTATTGCATTGAATCATAAATGCAATAAAAAGAACCCAAAACCCAGAATTGCACCCCCCGCCCCCCCCCTTTAATGAAGTGGGCCGGATTGAAGTCACCTGCGGGCCGACAGTTGAATAGCCCTGCTCTGCACTGTGTTCTGCAACTGAAAGACTTTGACACTTTTGCAGCTTTCATGCTTTATACAAAATCATTTCCTTCAAATAAAAGCATATATTCTGAATAAATTCCCATATATGTGTTTTTGATTGCCTTTTATGACGGATCATGTTTATTTATGCAAAAATGTAGATCAAATGTTGCATATTTTTCCAGCACTGCTGTTCTCTTGGAGCACAAAAACAGGGTTTGCATTCTGCAGCACACGCTGACAGAGAGTCTGAGCGGCAGGCAGAGAGACTCACCCTCTGTACAACACCCCGACTACTGCTGACATGAAGCCAGCAGCTGCCTCCGTTTGCTGCTCTGCAACACACACACCTGTCTCTGCACATTTCTGGGAACTACCACACACACACACAGAAAAACACATTTCACTGAAAAAAGCTCCAGTTAAACTCCTTCAAGTTAAACCTTCAGCGTGTCAACACGTTAATATGAAGAGAAAAGCTTCAGATGAGGGAGATACAGCGACTGTGGTTAGGTTGCAGCTCAGCGTTAGTCAGCGCTTGTGCAGGTTTGCGTTTTTGTACTAAGCTATATGGACTGCAGCCATCACTGACTCACCCCCCTGTCACTCCCTCTTCATCCTCTTCCTCCTCTCCAACGCTTTCAACTCTTTCCATCCCTCTTTCTGCTCCTGCCTCCGTCTCCTCCACAGCTGCCCACAGCTTCTTCTCTGCCTGCTCCTCACTGAGCGTGAAGCTCTCCTGACCACCATCCACAGCATCGGGGTGTTTCTCCTCATCTGCCTCCTCTTGTTGTGGTTTGCCTGACAGCTGGAGCTGTCCTTCCTCCTGCAGCTTTGGTTCTGGTTTTGAAGGCAGCAGTGGCTCCAGGATGAGAGACGTCTGCTCACCAGCAGGTTTGGTGAGAAGCTCGTCAGAGGTCGCTGGTTGCAGAGTTGGTTTGTCTGGCTCGTTAGGCTCCTCTTGAACAAGAGGTGAGCTGGGTTGTGAAACTGCTGGATGTGTTTCTGAATCTTTAGCTGCTGGTACTTGGTGCTGTTGACTCACAGCAGTGTCAACCTCATCAGAATCTTCCCTGGAGGAGCTGGGGAGGGAAAAAAGGTGGACACAAATTAAGACCTCCTCCTTCATTTACAAATCAGACTTTTTGCAACGTGGACAAACAAGAACAGGTGGGAGGTCAAAGCAGAGAACCCAGCAGAAAGATGCCTTCTAAATAATTCTTACCCCCCGCACAAAGGTTCTGTATCATCCATGGCAGAGTTTTTTTCTGGTGTATCTTTCCCACTTCTGTCTTCTAGCACTTTCCAAAGAGGAACCTCTGCATCGGACAGCTTCTGCGGAGGAGCCGCAGGCATCAAGACCTCTAATGTGGTGGGTTTTTTATGAATGGTGGGGCCTGAGCAGATGTCAGGGGGAGAACATGTGGCAGGTGTTTTGTTTTCGGGGATTTCAGTGTTTGACAGTGATGTTATGACAGAGGGTTTCCTCAGACTGCAATAGGGAGGGGGAAAGAAGGAAATGGAAAAAATAAAAGAGAACCAAGTAGGTAAATGTAAAAGAGTTCAGTCAGCACACACAAAAAAAGAGAAGACAAAAAAGGTGCATCTCTACGATGAAAAGTCGAGTCAGTAAGAGAAATGATTTTCAAATAATTTAAATAACTGGAAACAAAGTATATTAAAATGTAATCAATAAAAAATCCTAACTTGAAAGCTGCCTGTGTAGTCCTCATCAGTGAATGACTGTAAGCAGAAATGTGAATGCATGATCAGGTCGTAAAAAACTCAACTTGATTAAAAAAAAAAGCTTGGTATAAGTGTAGTTCCTTCACCTTTTGGCTCACACTGTCTACTTTTAACATTAGGCTTAAGTCTTTCCTTTTTGATAAATCCTATAGTTACGGTTGGCTTGGGTTTCCTGAACTATCCCTTAGTGATGCTGCTGTAGGCTTAACTGCTGCACGACAAACTGACCACATTTCCTCTGCTGCTGTCTTTACTTGCTCTACTCCACCTGTTTCTATTTATAATTATTTATATCCTTAACAGCTGTGGTTTGGTTTTTTTTGTCTTTCCTCCTCTAGGGAGCACACCTGGGCCTGCCATTTTTTGGTTGTCTGTTCCTCCTTCCTGGCCTCTCAAACCCCAGCTGGTTGAAGGAGATAGCTGCTCATCCTGAGCCTGGTTCTACTGGAAGTTTCTTCCTGTTAAAGGGGAGTTTTTCCTTTCCACTGTTGCCTTTGTGCTTGTTCAGATGGGAGACTGCGACAAAGTGAATATTCAACACAATCTGCTGGCTTCTTTAGATTGATAACTTTTATTAATAGGCTTTTTTAATGATGTTTCTGTTCAGTGCCCTGAGACGACCTGTTGTGACTTGGAGATATGTAAATAAACTGAATTGAATTGAACTTTGTAATAAACTGAAAATTTCAAACACACTGTTAGAAAATAAACAACATTGTGAATTTGTACGTTTTGTTTAACACTGATATTTATGACTAACGAAGTGGATGAGACTCAGGAGAAGCACTTTCTGCTATTTAGGGTGTTAGTGGTTCAATCCGGCATCCCTCATCGTTTGCCAAAGTGTCGTTGAGCAATGCACTGAACCTCAGGTTGCCCCTGATCTGCTTATGGGTAAATGTGAGTTGTAGCGTAAAAGCACTTTGTGTTGTCAGTCAAACTAGAGAACCACAGAATAAAGGCAGTCCATGTATCAAATATCCCACACTGATGCCTGGCTGACATTGCACATGCTATGTTTTGATTTCTAAACTAAAAAGAAGCAGGAGGAGTAATCATAAAGAAGCATACATTTCAGTTTATGAGATGCATAAAACATATTTTCTTTGCCTTACTCCCCTCATATTTTTATTTTATTTGCAGATTCAACTATTGTTACAGGTTATTACCTGTGTTCATTAACAGGTATGACTACATTGATGTAGCTCTGCACACACACAAACACACACACACTCACACACGCACGCACGCACGCACACACACACACACACACACACTTCTAAAAGTAAGTTACAATTACCATTTGGCCCGCGGTGAATGTTTTAAAATCATAGAAGGAAACTGGAGTATCTGGTGAAACCATATGAGAATATTTCAATCTTTAAACAATGTTATATACCAACAATAACAATAAAAATATTTTGGCTAGTTTATTGAAGAAAATACTTTAAGATTGTTGAACTCTTTACAGACACTGTTTTTTTTACAATTGGTAATTTTTTTAAGTCATGCTGTCTGGAATACTCAGTAAAAGATCTTGACCAGAAAAAAAATGACCACCTGATAAAGATTGTGTTGGTAAATGTAAATGGTAAATTATTATTATTATTATTATTATTATAAATGTGTTGGTATCAGGTGCTTTTAGCCACTACACACTCTGTTTTCCAAAATGTTTATGAAGTTAAATATAATTAAAAAAACAATTAAAATAATAATAAGAAAAGTTTGTAAATAATTGAAACCATCTTAATAAATCTGAACAATTAAATCGTGTTTTTTTACAGCCTCCATAGCATTTTTATGTACTTTGGAAACTATGTTAAACTTTCTATGAGATCAGACTTTCCACCCCCACTGAGCTAATCAGTAAAGTTTTAAATGAGCAAAGATTCATCAGAACAATCAACACAATCAAACAGGAACATTAAAGAACATTTTGATTGATTCAAATGGTTAAAATAACATAAATAGTAATAAATTTTAGGGATGATTGATTTTATTTGTTCTATATGAAAGCAAACACTTCTGCTGTAAGGATAGAAACAGAGCAGACATAAAGATGTTGCCATGACAACCACTCACCGCTCCTCGGAGGCTGCGCTCGGATGTCGGCTCTGTGATTGGTTTGGAGCAGGAAGTAGAGTTTGAGTGGGACACGGTTTGATTCTCATCTTCTCCTTGTCCTCATCTGACTTGTTGTCCTCCACCCTGCAGTCTCGAGATGCATCATCCTTCTCCTCTCTGGGTTTTCTCTTCTCCTCCATTCTCTTTTTCTTTGTCCTCTCCTCTTCCTCCTTGAGGTGCCTTTCTGCCTTCTCTTTCTCTTCTCGCTGTCTCTTCATCTCCTCCAGCTTCTTCTTCTCTGCCTCCCTTTGCTCCTCCTGTAACTGCCTCTTCTTTTCTTCTTCTCTCCTCCTTTTCTCCTCTTCCTCCTTTTTTCTCTGATTCATCCTTTCCTGCTCTTCCTTCAGGAGTTTCACCTTCTCTTGCTGATCTTTGAGGAGTCTCTCTTTTTCTTCAGAATCCTTCTTAATCCTCTTCTCTGCATCTTTGACTCTTTCTTTCTCCTCTTCTTCTCTCCTCTTCCTCTCTTCTTCCTTCATTCTCTTCTCCTCCTCTTCCCTCTTTCTTCCCTCTTCTGCTTCCTTGATTCTATGATTCTCCTCCTCTCTTATTTTCAACTCATCTTCCAGCCTCCTTTTCTCTTCAGCCTTCTTTCTCTCCTCCTCTTCCTTTTTTCTTTTCTCCTCAGCCTTTTTGACCTGTTGTCTCTCCTCCTCCTCCTCCTTAATTTTTCTCTCCTCCTCTGCCATCCTCTTCCTCTCTTCCAGTTGTCTCATCTCCTCATGATGTCTTTTCCTTTCTTTCTCTGCTTCTCCTTTTCTTTTCTCCTCCTCCTCCTGTTTTCTTAACTCCTCTTCCTTCTTTCTTTTCTCCTCGGCCTTTTTGACCTTTTGTCTCTCCTCCTCCTTAATTTTTCTCTCCTCCTCGGCCATCCTCTTCCTCTCTTCCACTTGTCTCATCTCCTCCTGACGTCTTTTCATTTCTTTCTCTGCTTCTTGTCTTCTTTTCTCCTCCTTTTCCTGTTTTCTTAACTCCTCTTCCTTCTTCTGTTGCTCCTTTTCTTTTAGCAGTCTTTCCTCCATATTGTTTCTCTCCTCCTTTTCCAGCAGCCTCCTTTTCTCCTCCTCCCTCCTCCTTCTTTCCTCTAACCTTTTCTCCTCCTCGACTTTTATCATTTTCATAAATCTCTCCTTCTCTTGTCTTTTCTCCTCTTCCCACTTCAGTTTGCTCATTTTCTCCTCTAACTCCAGAAGCCTCCTCTCTTCTTCTCGTTTTCTCTGCTCCTCCTCCTCCCTCAGTTTCTCCTGTTTGTCTCGCTTCTCCTTCAGGAGCCTTGCTTCTTCAAGTTTCCTCATTTCTTTATTCTTCCTGACCTCCTCCTCCTCCTGTAGGAGCCTCCTTTTCTCCTCGTCCAGCAGCCTCTTCCGTTCTTCCTCGTGCTTTCTCATTTCCTCCTGCTTCTGCAACATCAAGAGCATCTCTTTTTGCTCTTTCTCCTTCCTGCTCCTCTCCTCTTCCTCCTTTTGAATTTCCGACTCCCTGTGCTTCTCCTTCTTCTCCACCACTGCTGCTCCCTCTGACTGCTCTGTCTGTGGCAGCTTTTCTCCTTCGGTCTTTTCATTGAGTTTACGCTCAAGACTGTAGAACAAATAAACAAGATACCATCATTTTTATTTTATTTTTAATTGTCATCATCAAATCACACCCTGCAACCTGTTGATTGTTAAAAAAAGAAAGAGGAAACTCACCCTGAAGGACACCTTTTGATAGAATCCCACTTAGATTCATCCTCTTCCAGAAACAAGTTTCCTGAATCTTGTCTCTGATTTAGTGGTTCGTTAAAGGCGTCACCAACGCCAGCTGCAGCTCGAGGCGGACTCTCACCTATAAAGAGGCTCGTAACGCTCTCGTTTGTTGGCTTTTTCAAAACCGTTTCAACATTTGGCTGCTTGGGTGTGATAAACGCTGCAACGACACTGGTGGAGCACGACTCAGAGGTGGAGAGCTCACTGCAGGAAAAGGGCCACGGAGGGGGCGGGGCTATGATCAACTCAGAGCGGGACTGAGCTGGACTATGGGGACAGAAACGTTGGTTGTCAAGTTCACGAGAAGCGTCATAACAGTAAATATTGTTTTGTCCATGCAGAATACTCCAGCTTTTATGACGTGTTAGCATCCAGCAAGAGCCCAAATGTTAAGACACTGCAGATCAACAAACCTCCAAAGCCTTGATTCACAAAATGTCACTCGATGACACATGCTAGCATGGCAAAGCACTCCGATCTATTAGCATGGTGTCCATTTAGACCATGGTGAGTGCTGAAAAGGGACTGATCTTTAATAGGGATGTACAATATTATTGGCATGGTATCGGCCGATATTAGCAATAACATTAAATATCGAACATCGGCCATTCCATCAAAAAAAAACTCGCCGATATAAAAGGCTTCTAAGTTCATTTTTAATTTAAGAAACTGTATATTATTTTTATTAATGCACTACTACTTATGCACTTTCAGTTGTCGTTTGTGAACAGGTTAGAGTTGTGAAAATTTACAAATTTGCACTGTTCACGTGTTGTCATTGTGTTAGAGAGAGTAAATGTCATGAATAAATTTGATATTAAACATAATCCAAGTTGAAGTGTTACATCATTTTAAGCCCCCTTTTTGGCATCTGCATTTGGTAGCAGGCCAAACTGACAAAGACCATGCAGAATAATGTAGTATTTTAATTCAACAGCAGAGAAAGATCTGTAGTCTCTGTAAGTAGGTCTAGGAAAAAATTATCGGTATTGGTATCGGATATCAGCCAAAAATCCAATATTGTGCATCCCTAATCCTAAATATGCACTCCACTGTAGTCTTTGTCTAGCTTTAGACAAAGAAGAAACTTTTCGTGGTGAGACACACTCAGACTCAGTTTCACAGCGATGTACTCCTAATAGCATGCAACTAGAAATTATCCTCCAAGGAATGAATAAAACAAACAAACAAATAAAAAGAACGAACGTTGGTATATTGAATATACCATCATAACGCCAAAGAGACTAGTTTAGTGTGGCAAAAAAAAGGGAAAAATTAAGATGGCTCCACACGGTTTTCTGGGCACATCCCACTGGGAAGTGACCAATAACATGATGGATGGATTATCTATATTTTATGGCATAGGAACGCCTTGGGGCCCCACCCCCAGGAGGAGTTAGAAAGTGTTGCTGGGAGAGGCGTGTCTTGGTTTCCCTGCTGGACTTATTGCCCTCGCCATCCGACCACAGATAAGCAATAAAACATGAATGTATGGATAAGGAAAATAAACCCTGACAAAAAAAACCTATTGCATCAATTCTATGCCGTAATAAATGTAATTGTAATGCTCAGTAGTACAAATGTCAGAAGAATTAACTGGAACACATCCTAAAATCAGTTTTCCAGATCAGAAAGTTGAAGGACCTTCACCAACCCACACAACCTCAAAATCCAATATGGCTGCCATGCTAATGAAACATGACGGCAGCTGCAGTATTAAACTATTTACCAACACCTCTGCTAGTTTATATCTCTTACACTCAGGCAAACAATGTGCAAACTCTATTAGAAAATAGTGTTTTATTGCATAAAATTAAAAAATTAGGAATAAATAAATATGTTATGATTGGCTTCTGTCAACGTAGTCAGCTTGGTCATTGAGCACAATTAACTAATCCCAATGCAACATCCTCCCCCAAACCATGTCCCAGCTTCTGAGGTAAATGGCACTCAGCATTATTTTAAAACTATTATGAGTGTTCAGAAAATCAAAAGGGAAATTACATAATCTTTTAGGTAAATGTTACAATGTTTAACATTTTATTAGCATATACCAACAACTGGAGATGAAATTATATTTTTTACATTCAATTTCATTTTATAAAAATCTACTGAAACAATTTGGCACTCACACCATAAAGAGTAACGTAATACAGTTAAGTGTAACGTCACTACTTAGTGTTGTGACAACTGATTTAACCATTCAGGTCTAAAGTTCATTAATGGTTTTATAATAATGTTATAATGTTATGCACAAGCATTCATTATTAGTGCCGCATCGTGCAAATAGTCAAAACTTCAGGTAATTTGTGCTGAAATCAGTTTCTGATAGTCAGATCGTCATAGATGAAGCACACGTCAAACCGTTTGGGTTTAACAGCAGAATGTTGTTTACACAGTAACCTGTTTTTCTCTTTTCTTGTCCACCATGTTCCTGTGGGCTCTACTGTATAAATGATTATGGGTACAACTTCCTGTCAGACAGGAAGTAGCAGTAAGCATTGGTTAACCATGGTAGCAAAGCACGAACTGTGGTTTATTTGAAAGTAATTATCATTCAGTTTAGCAGATGAAATGCCATTTTTGTTTGGTTTAAATTTATTTAAGAACAGTAGTTTACTAAAATAGCCTTGCAGAGTTCAGGTTGTGTTCATGGCTGCACGAACAACCAGACCAAACTAAAATCAGAGGCCATTCCATTAATTCGGGTCCGTGTTTTGAACACGGACCCGAAACAAAAATAAGTGTTCCTGTGAAATGCTGAAATGCTACAATGTTTCCACCTCCTACCTAAAGATGAGGAATTAAGAAGAATGTGGCTGAAAAAACTGAACTTGAACAAAACGTTGTACGAGCGCTCAATTGACTTTGTGGACAAACGGTGCACGGAGGAAAACCTGCATCCTACGTTGTGGTTGGACAACAATAAACCACCGGAGAAGAGACGCTGGATCCGCAGAAGGATTGAAAACAGTGTGACAAGAACATCAGGTATGATTTCAAGTGTATGAAGCAGCATTATAGCATTTGTTCGTCTTCAGTATTATGATTTTCTCTGCAATGAACCCAAGCTCAATGATGGAGGACTTTAAGTCTTTGGCTGGGCTCTGTGTCTGCTTTAAGGTAAATAAGATTATGTCCCACCTCTTTTAACAAAACATCACTGACTTTATTACTGTGTAGATACTGATACACCTCAGAGCTTTTCAGCTTGTTTATCACTTCACCGTCGGAAGAACCGAGTCAGTGAAGTAGCTAAATATGCTAGTATAAGTAGCTAAATATGCTAGTAGATGTAATCTGCGGCCACTTCTTCAGGTCGTCCTCCCATCCCTCATCCACAGTATTAAGCAGTTTGATTATATTGTTCTGTTTGAGCTCTGACAGGTGATGTTCCTACATGTTTAAATTAAATCCACAATGCTCGGAGGAACTACATTAGCTCGTAGTGTTCACACATAAACAAAACGCCGGTTCTGTTCCGCACCGGAAGTCGTGCCCATAATTCACTTATGGCAGCATGAGGGCTAGGAATAAGGTGGATTAAAGCAGATGTAAAACAAATATTTTTTCAGACATGAAAGCAAGTGAAAAAGTTGTTTCATATTTTTAAATGTTTTTATTACGTATTTTTACCACAAGAGGGACTAAAGTTTGGATCACTGCCACTGGCTGAAGTTGACTCAAATCCCTGGAAACTAGTCCACTTTTCCTCAACAGAGTCAAATGAATGGATGTTTAATACATGTAGAAAAATGACAAACACAAAATACCCACACCATCTTAACGCACTATGTATTACTACTGCTGTGTATTGCTTTGTAAAAAGACAAAACGTCTAAGATCACTTGTTTCACCTGCTCACAAGTCATAAATTCAGAAGAAAAAGAAAAATGTGGTCAGATTTTAAATTGATCACCAAACAGTCCAGCTCAGGTTTATCAGACAGGCTGGTTTTCTGAAGACAATGTTAGAAAAAGAAAAGGAATAAAATAAAATTTGAGCTTTTAGATCTTATAAATCTTTCCATTATTCCAATTCCAGCTTTTCTGTTTGAAGCGTGGTGATCTGCTGACCGACACAAGGCTTTGAAGTCATCAGTCAACATGCTGCAGACTCACCTGATCTTCTCTGGTCCAGCTTTGTTCTCTGGGACGACTGTTGTGGACTCCAGCGCTGGTCTGAGGGGCTCTTTGGATAGTCCTCTGTTGGTTTCTGCCTGGTTGCTCTGAGCAGAACTTTTGTGTTGGCTCGGAGGACGTTCAGCCACTTCCTCATCCACCTGAGTGAGACGAAACGCTGCGCCTGTAACAGAAAGACCAAAAAAACAGAGAAGGAGGTAGTTTGAAACGAAGACTGGAGTCAGTTTGATTAAAACACAAGATGTACCTGACTGAAAAGAGCCGATCTGAGCAGGAGGAGGAGAGGAGGCGGTAAAAGCAGAAGAGGAGTGAGGAGGTGCAGGGAGGAGAAGGGCAGCAGAACGAGCTGGAGTCTCTGGGTCGCAGAGAGCATCAAGATCTGGACTAGACAACAGAGGGACGGGGGTGATGTCAGCAGTGGGAGAGGGGCCTGATGGAGGCCACGCCCCCTGAACACCTGAGGAAAATGAACAGGAAGGGAAAAAAGGAGACACTGAAGAAAATTAGAAAGCTCGCGTGAAGGAGGCTTAGAGGAATGACAGAAGACGACAAACAGAGAGAAGTTGGATGTGAGGAAGGCTATAACTAAAAGATATATTTTTAAGATTAGTTACCTGAGGAGGTGGGAGGTTTAGGGAGAGGTGGTGCAGATGAGGAAGAAGCAGCATCAGTGGAAAAAGGAGAGGGAGAGACGGGGCGGGCGACTGATTTTACAACCTGAGGTCGGAAAACATGAGAACGACCTGACAAGCAGGAGGAAAAAACGTACAAAAAAAATAAGAGGAAAAGGTGAAAAGTTTGGGATCAGTGCTGATGAGATCTGTGATTTAGATTGGAAGAAAGGAAAGAAAGAGGCGAAACACACCACAGACTGAAGCAGAATCATCTCTGGTCTGAACCTCCGGGGGGCGCCGCTTGTATTCAGCAGAAGCTTACAGAAAGAGGAGCGCAGAGACAGGAGAGGTGAAAACGACGGAAACTGTTAAAACAACAGAGGTACGGCAGCCCTAAAGAGCAAAAACACTCATCTTCATGCGTTTCTTCTCAAAACACAAAAAACAAAACAGCAAATAGTTACAGCAGTATTTTAACAACTACAAAGTATGTTGCACTTCTAATAATTTCCTGTAAATGTTCAAAGGTTTTCAAAAAGTCTTGTTTTAAACTTCACCGTTATTGGGGACTGCCTAGTATAAGGCAGCTACCTATTATTATCCACCTAACAAAGGGTTTCTTAACTTTATATCTTACTCTTCTGTCAGCTTTAATGAGGCCCGAACTGCAATGCGTACCCCCACAAGTCTTTTATCAAAACGACCGGCTCGGTGCCACAATGTGTGCTATTACTTTTATTGGCGTCTCGAGTTACCATGGCGACAAAATTTGCAAAGAAAGATGCCATTTTTATGTCATTTTTCATAGACTCTGGTTGCAAATCAAATATCCAAGATGGCCACCTGAGCTAAAAAAGAAAAAGCCTATATCAGCTAGTTTTAGTGATATTAAGCTGACATTTGGTGTGGTAGTAGTTGAGAGCAATGCCCAATAAATAATGCATTTAAAAATATTGAGATATGGCTGCCCAAGCTAAATTTAAATGCTTTAACTCAGCTAATTTATCGAGATGAAATTTGGTGTGGTTATTGCTGAGACTTCCCCATCATATACTGAATCCAAATCAAAACTCCAAGATGGCCACCATAGCTTAAACAAAAAATGATTAACTCATTGATTTTTTGTCATTTTGAGCTGAAATTTGGTGCGGTCATATTTGTACCAAGTTGTATTCTAAAGACTATGTAAAGTAATTATGTTCATAAAATACGACCAAATATCTTGTTCATCATTGTTTTTTTGTTTTTTTAAGGTTTGGTGATTCAACAAAACTTGAACATGTTGTCACAGAGTGAACCCCAAAGAACTGAGATCAGGAACAATATTTTATTTATAAAGATGGGGCAGCTTTTATCACAAAGATAGTTTGGGTTTATTTTGAAACTTTTCTAAGAATAAAAGTCAGAGACCTTATGGTTTCATTTCTCTTCAGCTGCTTTCACTTTCTCCATCTTTAGTTCCCTCAGTAGAAGTTCTGCTCTTTACCAGTTCTTTGTACTTTGTTATGAGTGCTTAGTGTATATTTAGTTGATGTTTTTCTTAGTTCATATCTTAGATGTTATTACTGTTTTTCTTATACATTTTATTGTTGGATGTAACTGGGACCCCGTGTACATAATTTCGCTCCACCACATGTACCACATGAGGTGCGAATGACAATAAAGAAACTCTGACTCTGACTCTCATGTTCTTCCTGTTTAGTATTTTGTGTGTCTTTCTTTTAGTTACCAGTTTATTTTCTCTAAAGTACCTTACTTGCAGCACTTTTTTCTTTAGTTGTGTGTAATCAAAGGCTTCGTTTTTTTTCTGTTTGGCTTGTTTAAATTTTCTTTATCCACAATCCGCTTCATGACAATTACTGAATGCCTTTTTAACGTCTGTCTATCTTAAGAAGCAACATGCATGAGAATGTCAGCAGATCTGACAGTTTGAAGCATAATAAACAGTGAAATAATGGAAAATGATAGAAGTTTTAGATCGTGTGACATTTTAATAAGAAAAATCCTTGAGTTGGTGACTGATCAAACTGAGTTGGACTTTGTGAGTCTAATGGGGAGTTTTGAATCGTTGATTAACATCATCCACTCGTCTACGTCTTTCTGGACTTGTGATCTCACTGGTTAGAAATAGCTCGTCACCTTCCCTTTCCATGAGTTACAGCAGCACTGACTAAACATTTAGATGCTCAACTCAAATATAAAATTGCATGCGTTGTGAACAGTGCACGCAAAACACCTGTTTCCTGGACGTGGTGTAAAATCATGCAGAAAACACAGACATGTCAGACCACCAAACAGCTGCAACTATTAAGCTTGAAGCATGCAGCTTGCCTGCAACTTGTCCTGCCTCTCAGTACCTTTTGCTGGGCCTGACTGGAAGATTCTGGGCAGAGAAGGTGGCTGAGAGACGGCCCGGGTGAGAGGGGGCTGAGCAGCCAGAGGAACGGAGGACAGGGTGGAGTTTTGGGGTGAGAAAGGCTTGAGAGGAAAAGGCTGGGCGGAAACAGGCTGATGGGTCAGAGTAGTGGATACAATCACAGAGGACTTTTGGAGACTGATGGAGGATGATGTGGTTGTAGTTTTAAGTGATGATGATGAAGGGGAGGGAAGTTTGAGTAACTCTGAGGACAGGACTGAGGCTTTACTTGATGTTGCAGGACCTTCAGAGCAACTGGAGGAAGGAGTAAAGGAAGCTGAGGTGGCTGATGATTCTAATAAGGCTGAAGTAGAAACAGGTTTGGAGCAGTTTGGAGATGGAGGGTGAGGAGGGACATCAGAGAGGGGAGGGACAGAGGAGGCACTCTGGACTGGAGGAGCGTCTGCTGGGACCTGCGGTCTTGGTGGATTCAAGCTGGACTCGGCAGACTCCGGAGGGACAGCGCTAGGTAGATTTTTATGCTTGGCCCTGGGAGATGGCTGCGGGGAGGGGCCAAGGGACGGCTGGGTCTCCGGTTGGACAGGACCAGCAGAGAAAGGATGTCGGGAGCGACGGGGCGAGGGGCGTGGAGCGATCGGTAGAGGAGGGCGAGAGTGGACAGTGGAAGGAGGAGGACCAACATCCTGTCCACAGGCTGAGTTCATATATGAAAAGAAAGATGGTTGAAATGAAACCGAAACAAAAATGGTCCTGTGATTTGTTGATCACATCACCTAAATGTTTGAATGAAAACAACATGCAAACTTTAGAAACTATAGAAAAACAAGTAAAATTGCTTAATAGTGTGACTACCGAGCACTGAGTCACTGCTGAACTTTGCCAAGAAGCTGAAACTGAGTTCAGACTTTAAAAAGCAGAGTATTGGCTAAAAACTAACAGCAAAACCACAAGCGGCAAATGGCTACTCAAATGTTAGTAGCAAAAAACTACTAAAAGCTTAAAGTAATAAAAAGCTCGATAAAAGTAGAAAAATTGTAGCTAGAACCTAAAAGAAGCAAAAGGCTAGCTAAATATTCAAACTAACAAAAAGATATTTAGGAGGTAAACAATGAAACTTAAAAAAATTGTAAAATGCTTTTGAAAGAAGGCAAACACTAGCTAAAAGCTAATTGTAGCAAAATGCCAGCTGAATGTTTAAATAGGCAAAACATTAGCTAAAGGTTAAAGGTATCAAAAGACTAATAGTGAGGGAGTTCTGCTCTGCCAGCTCCTGCTCCCACGTTCAGACTCTAATTAGCCACACCTGTGATCCTGTGACTTGATGAGCATGAGGAGTAGAAGACGCCTCAGAAGACACTCATCCAGCGCTGGAGCGTTACCTGCCAACAGTATTTCTGTTCTAGTCTTATATTTGTGGTCCAAGCTAAATATTAGTGACTTGTGCTTTTTATCGTGCCTCCAGCGATGTACCTTTGACGTCATGTGTTCCTGAAATCTCCTCTGTGGATCTCAAGCTCCTCTGTGCCTCATCAGCTGCCTCCACACCTTCCTACCACCTGCCTTTCACCTGTACCTCTTCCACCTGGAACCATTTGGGTCTACTCTCCCCACGCCTGACCTCAACCACCAACGTAAGAGAGAACTGCAACATCATTATCACCCTCGTCATCCTAGACTCGAACCTTCTCTCTGCTCCTCAGGGTTAGTTCCTCCCCTGGCTTATTGCTTATATGTCACCTTGTAAATAAAAACTGTAAACTGATTCGGAGTCTCAGTCTCTGTTCTCATTGGTCCTTACATCTGGGTCTAGCTGCAATCGTCATAAATAGTAGCAAAATGAAAGGAAAAAGTCACTTTTTTCTCAGCTTCTCCCTTGTGAGGGGTCAAATGAAAGAATGGGCAGTTGCTTAACGCCGAATAGTCTTCCCGATGTAATCTGGGCTCGAACCAGCAGCCTCAGGATTATAAGACACAGCACTGACCACTGAGCTACCACAGTCTCAGCTAACAGTAACATAAGAAACCAAAAAGAGAGCACATTTGCTGAGGCAGATTTCCACAACAAGGGTTTTGTTTTAAGGAACTGAAGGGATTTAAATGTAATTGTACGAGGAAAATATTTGTAAATGAACGCACTGCTGCATGATTACAGTAAATAACACTATAATAAGTGGCAGAATTCAGAACATCTAAAGACCATAAAGCAACGCTGAATGCTGTTTTCAGATGGAAACCAGTTCATAAGTTTGGCATGCAAAGTAAAAAGGTATTTTAGCTGTGAAAGTAAGCAGGTGTTGTAAAGTATATTTAGTTATGCGCTGGTTATAAAACTAGTTTTAACATCCGTGTGTTCCCTTTTTAAAAAAAAAAATCTGTCTGCATTTACTTTACACCTCCTTTCACAGCGCTCATTTCGCTGATGATTTCCAGTAAAAATAAAGACATTTTAATACAATTATTATTCAGAAAAACAAATACAGCATAAAGGAGAGCTACCTTTACTTCCAGTATTTCTTGAGCAAAGTGACTACATTGCATTACAAGTAAATGGTGTGAAATTTTGTCTAACCTCCAGAGCTAGTTGTACACATAAATATCAGACACGTTGATCTTTATGGCATTGCCAAAAAAATATAAAAGACACCCTTTCA